AGGGATTGGAAACAGCAGTGAAGTAGAATTGCTATAATTCTTTTCAACATTCTTACTTTAAATAGATTCTCTAATGCCTGACTGCTTTACAATAGCAAATGGCAGAATAGAATGTTTGGAATGGATCTCAGAGATCATATAGTCCAACTCCCTACTGAGCGCAAGAGTCGTCTACTACTATAACACACCTGGCAAGCAGTGGTGGGATTCAATTTTTTTTACTACCAGTTCTGTGGGCATGGCTTGGTGGGTGTGGCATGGCTTGGTGGGTGTGGCTTGGTGGACATGGCTGGGGAAGGATACTGTTAAATCCCCATTCTCACCCCACTCCAGGAAGAAGGTTACTGCAAAAAACCCATTCCCTCTCCACCCCACTAACCTGCTTTCCAGCTCCTTTCTCCTGTGCAGGGCAACAAAAAAAGACCCAGCTAATCAGCTGGGACTCAGGAGGCAGAGAATAGAGGGGGATGAGGCCAGTCAGAGGTGGTATCTGCCAGTTCCCCAAACTACTTGAAATTTTTGCTCCAGAACTGGTCAGAACCTGTTGAATACCACCTCTGCTGGCAAGGATCATCTAGTCTCTGCTCCTCCAGAGGAAAGTCTTTCACGGTTCACCTCCCAAAACATTCTGTTCCTCTCTTGAAGGGCTCCTACTGTTAGGAATTTTTTCTTACCATTTGGCCTATTCTGGGCAGGTAGCACTTTTCAGAGAAGGTAGTTAGCAAATAAACAATTGTCTCAATTTCTAACAACTATTTTATTTAAATTTATATGGCCACCTATCTTACAACAGTGATTCTGGGCTTTGTAAAGGGATTAAAACAACAGCTATAAGCAATAACTTGATACTTGAAATAAACAATACATTCCAATCATAAAAAACCAAATCAGCAGCAGAGCTAATGTAGTATATCAAATAATATAAAATAGCATTAAATAATACTTGTGAGATTTACCTTTACTGCTGTCACTAATAAGCATCAAGGAGTTAATATCTTTGACTTGTTTGCTCTCTTCTTTTGAAGTAGAAGGCAATGCTGGAATTTGCTCCCTCTGATCAGACATGATAAAACATTGATTCGGGATGGTTTTCTCATCAAGAGACTTGTTTGCAAAAGCAAGTTATCTACAAGATATATAGATAAAATAAGAATAGATGGTATGACTGAAAATGACAGCATTCAGCTTCAAATTCTGTACTTAAGGATTCAATGTATAGTACCTATACACACAGAGCATGTATTTTACATTAATGCCCATGGGGTAAGTCTACAAAATACACTTGTGTTATCACTTGTGGTGAGAGAGTTATCTACAGCAGTCTTCCCAACATGATGTCTCCCATATGTGCCAGACAACAACCTAAAATTCTAGGATTGTTGCCTAGATTAGGAAATTGGGGAAATAAATCTTGGAAGATGGCAAAAACCCCAACAACTCTATTTCTTTAATGCTGCCATGTGTGCAAATAGCAGGAATTAAATGCCTTGAAGTTACATAAGCCTACTGTAAGTCTATAAAACTTCCTCTTATGAAGCATTAGTAAAACCTTTCCTGTCCTAAAGGGCTGTTCCAATAAGTTTAGGCTGTTGCACAAATCTAATACCTATGGGAAAGAATAAACCCTAATTAAAAGGATTTAATTTTTAAAATCGATTTAATTTTTTTAAAAAAGCTTAGTTAATAAGAATGCTACCATTTTACTCTCCATCATGAATGTCTTTTTAAGGTGTTTTGTTTTTTTTTTTGGCTTCAACCCAAAGCAATCTTTTGTCTGGATTTCTGAAAATAACACATTGAAAAATTTAAGAATCTGAGAACTAATCAGAATAGTCAAACCCAACAATACAAATAGTAAGGAGAGCAAATAATAAGCACGCCTGCTGAGTAAGGGAATCAGACAAATGGACACACTTAGTAACTGATGAATAGATTTAGCTTTTAAAAAATTTATACTCATTTTTTTGTGTTAATACATGGTGCATTTCAACACTTCACAGCTACATTTTCGTGTATTTGAAACGTAATCTGTATAATATTGCTTTGAAATCATCTATGTCACATCACACTTGAAGTGTAATATTAATTGCCTTATTAATTACCATGCAAACCTCTGGTTATCTTCCATATTAACTCAATAGCTTTGAAATGCCATTGCTTTTAACGAAGGGAGAAGCCTGTAACAATTTAATTATCTGCCCGTTTTTAAAAAGATAAATCTGAAACCATTCAAGGAGCCATTTTATGAATGTTATGAATTATCAGAAAACTCTGCGACAGACAGCACCTATTTTCCTCTTCTGGGATCTCCTCCCCTACTTCCAAGATTGAACATATCCACAACTCCGTCCCAAGTAAGCAATGAGCGTACAAGCGATTGCTTCATAAGGACTAGAGGCATCAGCGCGAGCCTACAGCAGTCATCGTGGCCCCATCTCAAAGGGCCAAAACCGCAATACCGCGCAACAGAACCCTTCAGCCATTTGGCAGCGGGCTGAGCGAAGACAAAACAGCTCGAGGCATTGCTTTACCTACTTCTTCCGGCTTCCTGACGCCCGCTGTTGCTATGGAAACCTATGACGCCTTTTGCGTGGGCCCAAACGCCCCGCCCAGGAACTCTCCCCCTCCCCTGAACCTCACAGGGGCGCTTGGAAGCCTCTGTTTCTCGGTTCCTGGTTGCTTCGTTCGGTTCCCGATTTCTTTAAAGAAAGCCGCTTTGTTTGTTTGCTGTAAGGCGCCGTAGAGATGCAGCGAGCACCAGGAATAGGGAGCGGCAGGAGCTAATGCTTAAAGAATAGTTAATGGCGCCGATTTGGGGACTTTTACAAGGAACTCAATCCAGAAACGTTAACGTATTGTTGGGATGAGTGTCTTGAGGTTCCGGATAGAATGGAGTCCTTTGTACTCTCCAAGCTTGGTTGTTTGCTTGCAAACGTTTCAATACACAACTACTCTCTCTCTGTTTGTGTGTATATCTATCCACATAACTTAAAAAAACACACACATGTATGTATATGTGTATGTATGTATGTATATATATGTATATATGTATATGTATATATATACACACACATACACACATACTACACACACCAGTATCTCATTGGATAATCCCAATTATTAAATAATTTACCTAATTTGATTTTTCCTTGTTTTATTCTATTGTAGATGTGAACACTTTTATTTTAAGAGACTCACAAACCAATCAAATCCCACATAAAATACCAGGCACTGCAGCAGGAAAAAAATTCCAACACCTCGTAAGGATAAGGACCATTAGCCAGGTGTTTTTATTGAAGGTGCTACTTATGACCTTGCAAATAAATATTAACAGATACAGTTTCAAGTATGTTAGAATGAAGTATATTGGATATAAATGAAGGTGGTATGTTTCACAGATAGCAAAATACATTAAAGTTTCTGTAGCACAGTATAATTTTTGTCCATGACACAAAGATACTCATGGTTCAATATGCAGTATTTTACAATTAACCAACATTGTCTAATCAGTCAATAAAACTAGCTGCTTCAAAATCATACTCTTTGACCCATCCAATGGATGAAAATTGAATTCCATTTCCTCTTCTCCCTTTTCATTACTTCCAAGGGAGAAGTCTGAACCACCTTGCTTGAACAATGAATTCTTCCATTTTATTAGTTCCTACTCAGTCTAAAAGATATGTGTACTCTTGCAAGAAAATAAGATTTGGCACTTTAATAATGGCAGCTAGGTTACAATCTTTTAAATGCTGTTCTTGTATCAACCGCAAGGCTCATGCAACCCAAAAGTTCTTAAAGAATGGAAAGTTAATGTTTTAGGAACAACTTTTTATGCCATTCACAATTATTCAGGCATTTTGAATTTATATTCACAGCTTTATATAGAAACCACTATAACAGTTGAATAATAATGTATTTTTGAAAATGTACTAGTTCATGCACCAGACTAAGTCAGATATGGATGGTCTTTGTCCTTTTTTGTTTAGCTGAATCATGGTTGTTAGTCAAAAAATAACATAAAACAAACACTGATTGACATTGTGAGAACTCAACCAACATGTTCTTTGCTATGATGATTGGGAGAAACTAAGATTTCATTAAAAGTTTATTTAGTCCAAGTTCCTTCCTTACTCTTTTCCAAAACTGGCCATTGTTTGAGTGAATTTGCAAATGAATAGTGAAGTTAATATTGCACTTGATTCTGGACATACTTCAAGCTACTTTTCAAGACAGTATCAATTAACATGTTTTTATTATTCAAAAACCTTCTAGCTACGTGTTCCCTTTAATTAAACTGAACATTTCATGCAGAGATCTTATGTCACAAAACCCAATGTTTTCTTAAACACAATCCACAGTAGATAACTTTAGTAATACTGCTTCCAAATGCTGGGCTGGCATACATGGGCATCTACAAATGGAAAGGAGAAGCATGTATGTAATATGACCTATGATGTCATTACGGCTTGCACTAGATGTTCATGCTTGTGGGCTGAAATATGTGGTTAGCAAGTTTTGATACATTTCAGCATCATTACTGTAAATACAGGCACTTCATCTCCCATCCGCCATCTGTCTTCGTGCAGTATTCTTTAATTGCAGATCCTATTATATTATAGTTTGACTTTAGGATGGAAACAGAAAATTGAATTTGTGACTTTTAAAGAAATAAAAGATTAAAGAGACACAAAACTTTTACTTTAGAACAAACTTAGAAGAACATAAGTTTTATTTCAAAATAACAAATTCAATATTCTTTCTGTAAATGTCATTTGATTTGACAGTAACATAATTATCAAATATAAATACAAGCATTCCATGCCAGCAATTCTTAAATATATACAATATTTTTTTAGGAAAAACTGGTTTCAGTGTGAAAACTTACAGTGTGAAACTAGTTCTATTAAAATGACATAATTTAAATGGTTTAATTTATATCAGTCAAGTAAATCTTATATAAAATCTTCCAAGGTTCCTTTCAGTTTGTCATCTCAGACTTTTTTTAAACAGAGCACTGGAACGGGTCTGTTGATTTTCAGAAAATAAAGGGTATTTAAAATATTTTTGCACAATGAATATCTTCCAGTTGCCCTTTTAATACTATGAAGTTGCTTTTATCCTGAAAAACAGTTGACTCTCGTGTTCTGTGGTTAGATTAAATCACTTAAGTAATTAAAGTTATACTACAGAAAACAAGTACAGTATGAATTGAGGTTGACAAAATTAGACAAAACAAGAGAATAATTAGCATCTATAATGCACTAGAGAACCATGAATCAATTAAGGCAAGACATGAAATATATACAGACTGTATTTTCCCCATCTCCAACTTTATTTACTTGAGTCACAGCCCCAATGCCTTGTGAATAGTTCACACTGACTAGTGAAACAGAGTTCTCTAATATTTACTGGCTATATATCAGTCCTGTAGGGTATTAACTGTCAGCTACCAATATAGTGATTATGTGTCACATTTGCAAAAATATGTCTCAGGGTGTTCCATACCTAATCATCTCATTATTACCTCTTTTCCCTCATTTTTATTTTTATTTTATTTTATTATTTAATTTTCTCATTATCTCATCACTTTCAAATGAATCTTACTGAGCAAACTGCTATTTTAACTGGAACACTGAAGCTTTCCAAGTCAGAGCTTTTCTCAGTTCTTCAGTACTAATTATGTTCTGTATCACTGCAGTGATAATTAATAAAGAATGTAAAAATAATGGGCATATGACCACCAAAATAATGGGCATATGACCACATATTAATGATGTTTGTAAAAAAAGATATTATAAAGATATTATGCTCATAGTTGAGAAAGACAGGAATCTAATGCATTCATGATTCACAGGAATCTAATGCATAAAACTATATCTGCTGGCTGCAATAACTTTTACTGATAGAGGGGAAAACTGCCTATGATTGCAGTTCCCTTCCAAAGAGCTTCCCTTCCAAATTCTTCAAACTGGGATCATAACAAGGAAGAGAAAGTTATATAAAACCTACCTTTCATGGCAACCCCTTTTTTAAGAAAATAGTTTTATACACTTGTTAACTGGGTTAATAATATCATATTTAAATTGGTCTTAAACTAAAGAGAAAGAAAGTTTTAAATACACTTTTTTTAAAATTCTGTGATCTTCAGTAGAACACATCATTATTGCAAAAACTGGTCCTAGTCTGAATGTTAATGGAACCCACAAGGCTATCCCTGATAACTTTGCTATAAGCCTACAATGTTAACAGTTCAAAAACTAAAAACTAAATGAACCTGGTAGTAAATGCCCACTCTGTGTTGTCAGATTATCAAGAAACTAAGCATCAAAGGAAATACTAGACAGTATAGTCAATTACACTGGGCTTTCTTTAATTTAACAGAAAAATACTGAAGGATGTCAAAGCAAAACATTAGACATATTTTTCACAATACATTATTCATACAGGCAATAATTTTACCCTTCAAAGCAGTATTGGATCATGCCCAACTTTTATTTACCCTTGGCCAAATTATAACTTTTACTATCATCCCTTGCATGGCTGCATCCGTTGAAATGACATATTTATATTATTACTATTATAGGAAAAGCCCACTTGTGGCAGGTGAAGTAAACTAGGCATTAATACATTCACTTACAAGGGAGGGATATATTTGAATCATCACCAAAGAGGGTTCTCAGTAAGATATTTCAGCAATCCTTTATGGTATGGTATAAGAAATAAAATAAATTGTAAATGTAGCTTAACTGTTCTTTATTTTTTCCCTAAGCCCAGTGTTGATAGACATATCTGTTTTTTTTCTCAGCATTCGTTCTGTAGTACAAATACTGTTCAAATGTCCCATTTCAAGTGATTCTGACAGAAGATCTATGCAAATAGTCACTATTATCCAGATCACACAATACTACTTTTTAAGGAAACAATGGGTAAATGAAATACTACATAAGAGAACTATTTGCAATAGGCAAAACTTAACTAGAAATCTCTTCACTAACCTTTTTGCAGATTTCATAACCAGCATGGAAATGGCTCATATTGGAATAGCTAGGAATGAGAATAATCTATTGGGCTTTCTACAAGTTTAGCTGCCTTGGTGCCAAAATGCCATCATTTTCCAGAAATACATACAATTTCCTTTATAAAAAAAAAGGCTAACTCATTTATATCATTGGACCCAATTTGTTATTGTTTGACTAAAGAGCATCTTCTGATATTGGTTCTAAAGACAACTCCCAGAGGTCTTCATATCTTAAGAGGAGGGCAAGACCAGGAACGTGGTTTCACATAATCCAGAAAAGTTGGCTAGAAAATACACAAGAGGAACAGTAATGTTAGGCAAAAAGTACAGAATACTTTGCCTTTGTCTAGCACCATACAACATTTACTCATACAATAACCCAGATATATTTTCATTTGGTAACCAGGGAATGCAAAGAATTTATAGAGAACCCTAGGATTTTCATAAATCTACAAGACTCTCCTTGCTCATAAAACTCTCCAGACTTTTTGAAGGAGAAATCAAAATTGCCATCACTTCCGAATAGTTCTCCCTCAGATCCAAATTCAGATCCAAACCCTCTGTTTTGAAACTGCTCCACTATCTGAGATTGAACAGCAGTAAACTTATATGAGGATAAAGCAGCAAATCTATCTGGGTCTAGAGGCTTTTACAAACTTCTACAGTCCAGGTACCAGACTTGGGGATTATACAATGACATTTTACTCACTCACAGTCTCATTGTGTACATGCACTTATGAGATGTACTCTGGCACAGCATACCACAACAGATGGTGAAAATCCTAATATACTGAGTGGAACCTAAAGCTAGTGAAGAGTCTAAGAAGTTAATAGAATGAAGAAATTACTAACTTCCATACACATGTGGTTCCTTGCTACTTTCCTGCTCTACCTCCCAAGAATGCATGGTCTTAATTTTTCTAGAGCTGGAATGCCAGCTGAGAAATTCATAATGCATATATAATTTTTTGCAGTTCTTGTCTCTAAATTCATGGCTCTGAATCGTAACTGAATCTATTTTTATTACAAACAGATTACTCACATTTTCCTTGGGACAATACTGACGTGCATATAACTCCTGCCCATAAAGGCAAATAAGGACACCATGGCCAAGGAAGAGGGCCGCCCACATGATGATGTTAAAAATGGGGTTTTTCCGCTGGTCATGGAGAATGAAGTTGAAAACCACTGAAGGAAGGAAACAACCATTTAGATTGTAAACCCCAGTCCCCACTCTAGATCCAAATGCACTAGAACATTGTTGCAATGATAAAACATGTTTAATTCTTTACAATGCTAGTCTGTCAAAATTAACAATGTAATTTGAATTTTATACTCCAATATGGGAAAATTAAAGGCAGAACACACAGCTGTTAAGAGGAGGAAGAGAGAACCTTTCACTCTACTCTGTTTTTAGTTTTGCCCTTCTACTCTCACAATGTTTCCCAGCAAATCAGGGACAGGCTTTACTCACTCCATCAGTTCTCCAATAAGTACTCTAAGATATTCCCACCAAGCAACTCCGCCCTCACTTCAAAAAAGAAGGAATGTGATCTGAGATCAGAGATGACTTCTGGATCAGAGTTCACAAATGTAGCCATCTGGAACCTCACCATATTACAAATTAGCCATTTATTATTCAAATTATGTTTTTTTCAACATTTTGCTATACTGCTGAAGGATATATTTAATACTTACTTCCAAAACACAGGAACATGGAGAACATGACTGGATATAGGTAACCCAAGCAAATGGCCATGACATATTCATGTACTGCAGCAGAAACCATGAAAACTGACAGCATAGCAACTGCTTTGAATTTTTTCCCAAAGAACTGTGGTTGACAGACAAACAAGAGAAACAATGTCCAATGTTTTAAATATATATTTGTGCAGCTTCTGGAAATCATCCAAAACTTCCTATTAGCACTTTGTACAGAAATTTATAAATGCAGATTTTTTTTTTCATATTCATTTTCTATCAGGAGGTATACCAATATGGGCTCCTTTAGAAGAAATAGTGATGTAAACATAGCACAAATAAATACATATATGATATTTCTCTGAAGAGAAAGTTTCCATTAATTTTTATACTTAACTTAAATATATGTGCCTATCAAATAAGAATGCAGAAGAAGAAAATGATTAAATTCAAAATGTACAGGTGTACTGCCTCCTTATGGCAGGGAGTGTTCCTGTGGAGTGATGAGTGAGGAATACTGGGAATGACTATCAAGACTACATACTGCCAGCAGAGTCACCCAAAGCATGACTATCATCCCAGCTGCCAGCTAAAGCAAGTAGGCACCTATATTGGGCAGAAGTGATATAGGAAGAAGCCTGGAATAGGCATTCGCTTCAGAGACAATAGCATTTCAGTCTATCAGAAGGAAGCAAACCGCTTCTGTATTTTATCAAGAAAATCCCAGAAATATAAGGGGGAAAAATGGTCTCCGTGGATGGGTGGGTGCACTGTAACTTTTGTATATTTTTCCCCTTTTTGTATTTAGATTTATATGTATTATGTTTGCATTATTTGTGTTCAAAATAAAAAAAATATTTTTTAAAAAAAAGAAAATCCCAGGGATAGAATATCTTGGAGAAAATCTACCTAAAGTGGTTACTTAGAATTGGCATCAACATAATTAGTAAATTACTTATAAGTTTGCTGCTTACCCAAAGGAAATCCCTGTAGGCATAGTAATACAGCCAATCATGTACCACGATATTCCAGGTTCGGTAATAGTTTGAAAAAGATGTAGAATTCCACCAGTCCTAAAAAGGTGTAAAAAAGAAGAGAGAATGAACTTCAGAATTGAGGACCATTATGTCAAGGATCTGCTGCTTCTCAAATATTTGAACAGCACCTAAAATATAATCTCAGATCTCTAAATTGAGTGAGGCTGCAACTTTACACCAGTTTAGTGGCTAAGGCACTAAGCCAAAAACTGGGAACCTGTAAGTTCTAGTCCCACCCTAGGCACAAAGCCAGCTTGGTTATCTTGGGCCAGTCGGTCTCTCAGTTGAAGGAAGAAATCAAGGGCAAACCTCTTCCAAAAGTTCCTTGCCAAGAATGCTGCAGGGACTAATCCAGGCAGTCAACAGGAAATTAAGGCTAGCTCAAAGAAGGAAAAAAGAAAAAGAAAAGAAAAAAAGTTGCAACTTACATTTCTTAACCTATTGAAACACTTTAGAATGGAAGCATTCAACTTAATGTTCCCAGAACGGTTGGACTAAATGACCCATCAGATTTTGTTGGAATAGTCAGTGAACAGGAATAAGACGGTATGTGATCCCAAAACATATGGAAGACCCCACAAAACTCATGCAGTATAAGGAACTCATATTTCAAAAGATCTCACCAGATTCTTTAGGGCTTGTCCCCTAGAAGAATATTATATCTTTAGGGAAAACATAATAAAGTAAATTTGGTATGGCTCAAAAACTATTTTTATCTTTGTTTTTTAGGCCACACAAGAAACTGTTACAAGCTTAAAGAAAACATAGCAGATTCAGGACAAGCTTCTGTAAGATTATCTGCCATTCAAAGACTTCAGCAATTGCCAAGACTAACAAAGCATTTTTCTTCCTGGATAAAGCCATGCCAAACTACCAACATAGTTGATTTAGTTCACAAAAACAGACAGTCTAATGCACACATGGCGATTATGTTTGTCTCTCCGTCAGTCAATTAATCAGTTTAAATGAATGAATGAATGAAACTCAGTGCATAACATGCATGTGCATACTTGTGCATATGTATATGTAGCACCAGTACATTTTTTTTTAATGGCCACGTTCCTTTCTTGCCCCTTGCTAAATTTGCTGCAGTTGTACAACTGTACAGTTGTAGGAAATCCTTCAGAAAAGGCTGGCAAGACTATGCATTTTGGGCCTCAATTACCTGATAAAACATTCTGTCAGCGAAGCGGAGCACCTCAGCAAAAGCATTAAGCCAGCAATGAAGGAATGCAAAGAAGGTCAGGAACAAAATCAATACACCTACATAAGCATTAAAGAAAAAAAGCAAGTTAATTTTAACTTAAAGTTAAAAAAACAGGCTTCACCTTCAGCCTGTTCAGTGTTCTAAATATCCCAATGATACCTATGAAAACAACAAGTATGGTCTGTCATTTTTAAGGATTACTTTTAAGAAGTTACCTTCTGGGGCAGCATTTGAGTGAATAGATTTCAAGAGCATCTCAGCATCAATGCATGTTTGAAAAGTGGGATTGAGGGCAAGACTGTAATGTGCAAAATGGAAGAAAGGATGAAAAGGAAACAGGCAGAACAAGTTGACCACTAGGTGCTTGGAACAAAGTTAAACAATAAGAAAAAAGGAAATGTTTTATATTTTTAAAACATCTACTTTGAAGATTGTTCACTTCGACAAGTGGCAAGTAGACCACTTACTGGTCAATTCAGAGTTGTTATATTTTCTAGCCATGGTGACGACCACCTCCTCTGCATAATCATCCAATATCACCACCATATACGTAGGTGTGTCTATAGACCAAGCAGAAGGAAATATAGTGGCTGGGAATCTTTGAAACAGGGGAATTTTTTTTAGAAAAACAGCAAGAATGGAGTTTACAGTAACTCAGAAACAATTAGGAGATAGAAAAAAGTGTTAAGAAGGAAGCTGTTATAGGAAGAAGTCAGTATAAAAGCAGAAGAAAGAATGAAAGATTGTGAAATGTGAAAAAAGGAATACTGCAAAATGCTTCTGGGAAAGAAATATAATTGAAATACAATTTCAAATAGAGGTTCACTCAATGCAAAATCTCTGGCCACCAATTGCTGCACAAAATGGTGCAGAAGTTGATGCACCATGATATGCTATATCCAGAAGCAGGAAAACGATAGCAGCAAAAAAAATGTAGAAGCTTATTTGTATTCACATTATTTTAGAAAAATATAGGGCTGCCCATGACTAATGTTCTTCTGGTACAAAATGCCTGTAAAAGAAGTAATGCTTGTCTTCTCTTATTTCTTCTAATCCTAAAGAGGTCATTTGCTAACACATATCTAACATACCACATTTGCATTGCATTCAAAAGCTTTGAAGGAAAAACCCACAGGCTGATTAACAGGAGCTCACCTGGAAGAATAGAGTTGAAGATGCAAAGAACTAGTCCTCGTAGACTGAAGTGTTCCAAGCTATAATTCCGGTATGTCGGGATACAGAGTCTTACAAATATGTAGTAAGCATAGAAAAATGAACCAAGAATCTACACAAGAGGGAAAACCAAAATCATTTGACAATCAGAGAAATTTTGAAGGAATCATAGGGAAAATTAAAAAAAAAAAGTTGACCATCCATCTCCCTCAAGTGACCTTCATTTATTTTACTGCTGCTTAGGATCTAATTGTTCTAGATATAGGCAGAATGCTAGAAAATATACTTGTATAAGTAAAGAAAATTATTTCTTTTAGAGCTTCTTTTAAAGCTTTTCTTTTGCTGACTTGTTTAAATCCCTCCACAATAGTCTTACAGAACCTAAGCCTCTCCAGTTGCCTTAGGCTACAATTCCATATTCTGGAGGCTTCCTGTAAGTTGCCTCTGGTGGAGCTTCAGCGTTCTCAGTAGGCAAAAGAAAAAAGTGGAAGAATGCCTCTGATCACCCTTCCTTATGTATGTTAGTGGTCTGGACCCATATGAACAAATGGTGGTGTGGACTCAACAGTGAGTTACTGTCTATGATTTTAGTTGCCACAGGAGTTAATAACCAAGGGGATTGATTAAAGAAAGAAAAAAACAGAAATGGGAAAGGAAGGAAAGTCTACTTATTAAGGGGGCCCTTCCCACATATGACTAGCAAAATTGCCGGAACGGATGGGAGTGGGGCGATGTTCTATTTTAAAATGCCTCAGCTTTGCCACAGGAAAATAGCTATGGATCCCCAGCTCTTTATTAGTATTACTATGTGCATTTTCTCAGGATCTTGACTGAATATATAGCATACTCAAGAAATGAAGCAAACACAAAAGAAATAGTTGCTTTGAAAACAAAGATGGTTCTAAACATTTTCTAGTACTATTTCTATAGTTTCTGAGGACTCTGAAAATGAATGCTGAAGAACTGGTTCTGGAAATAAGATTCAGAAACTGTTCAATGAAGAATCTGAACCAATTTCAAAGTAATACAGATGTTCCAATTCTGGCTTTAATTTCAACATATCTAGAGGGCACCAAATCATGGAAGGCACCAGATCATGGGAGGCTAGACTAAGCCAGCATCTTATGTTGGGCTTGTAATACACAATTTGATGCACTTGAGAGAAACCACAGATTTAGTAGGCAGCAAAACAAGCTCTGATTTATAACAAGGGAAAATAAAGTGATATAGATATACACAGGCAAGACAGCTAATAAGTGCTTTTAGGTCCAAGGACTGTTTTCCATCAGGTAAATGTCAGGTACAGGAAAGTCACTAACCTGTGCAATCTTGGTAGCCAGATAGCTCCATCTTATTGTAGGTGTTCTGAAAAGAATGTGATATCACATTTTCAGTTCTCAAATGGTTTGGTATTATTCCATGTCATTTTTTAGCAAGTATAATTAAGTGCACTACCTAGATATTGATATAGCAAACTCAATATAAATTCAATGGCAACATAAGAATATATCACAATATTTCAATGATATAATGAAGATAAATTTGATAGGTATGATATTGTTCATCAAAACACTGCATGTTTTATTCTGAATCCGATAAGTCATTATTGATATTGTTATACTTTGATTTTTTTAAAAAAGTAATTAAATGAATAAACAATGCTGGTAGAAATATATAGCAGAAGAATATGAAAAAAAAGATCTGAAGGCTTCATATAACCTATTAGTAATCAAAGTTTAACATCTTTTTTGGTAACTGAAAGCACGGGTTAAACAAAGGAAATGTGGAGCAATTTTGCTTTGCTGATAAAAAGTATGCTTGCTAATGAGGTTGCACAATGTATTTAACTCAAAAGTTATGATAAAAATATTTAAGGTAGTCTACAACCAGTCGCTTAGCCCAAGGCCTGTAGATACCCATGAGGATGAAAGCAGGCCCCAAGCCTGTGGGGAGGGAAGCACCACATGGGGTAACCCAGGGGGTGGGGAAGGTCCTGGGAGGTCTGGGGCAAGCAGTCCAGAGCCTGTTGCTAAGTGTCCCAAGGCTTCCCCCACCCCCTAAAGAACTTCATTCTCTGCTTAATGATTGCATCAGAGAGAGCAGGGATGGTGGTCATTAAGTGAGGTGATCACATGGTCACTTCACTTAATGACCATCACCACTTGTAACTGTAATGGGCAGGCTCCATTCCGGTCATGAGTACATTTGATAGTCTGCAACTCTTTAATATACAATGGGATAAACAAGTGAAGAGAATTCAAATCCTAAACAATATTTCATAGAATTAAAGACTAAGATTGTTATAAGCAAAAAGAATATAAAGTTGGTATATTTGATTAAATTTAAAGTAACATCTTTATTTGCAAAGTTGTGGCAACCTTTTAACGACTTTTTACGGACATTGGAATTAAAAAGTTGATGTTTTATAAATTTGTTTATAGATAGGGGATGGGACATGGGATAAAGCGGTATCTGTTTGTAACTTTGTAGTGGGTGAGGGGTTTCTAAATTTGTTGATAGTTGTGGTGGTTTGAAAGTCAGTTCTTTACATATTTTCTTATCCCATTTTTCTTTTTTTCTTGTACTTTTTCTTCATATTATTCTCTTTCTGTAGGTTTAGCTTATATTAGTTTTTATTACTGCAATTAAAATTCTTAGTAAAAATTACATCTAAAGAAAAAAAATCAACAGGCTAGTTTTTTTTATTTATTTGTGTCCTGCTTTCATTTTTTTACAAATAACTCAAAGCAGCGAAACATATCCCACACACCTTCCTCCTCCTGTTTTCTCCACAACAAGAACCCTGTGAGGGGAGTTGCACTGGTCAGGAGTGAATGGCTGAAAGTCATCCAGCTGGCTTTCATGGCTTAGGTGGGACTAGAACTCCTGATCTCCTGCTTTCTAGGCTGGTGCTGTAATCCCTAGACCACACTGGCTCTCTAGCTGCATCTTGGCTAAATATTAGCAATACTACAAGCAAATGCATATAGCAATAATACTTAGACTTATATACCGCTTTATAGTGCTTTACAGCCCTTTCTAAGCGGTTTACAGAGTCAGCATATTACCCCCAACAATTTGGGTCCTCATTTTACCCACCTCGGAAGGACGGAAGGCTGAGTCAAACTTGAGCCTGGTGGGATTTGAACTGCCAAATAATAGGCAGCTGGCTGCAACAGAAGTAGCTTGCAGTACTGCACTCTAACCACTGCGCCATAGAGGCTCCTCTATATAATATCTATCCCTTCATAACAGAATTGAAATTACCATATGCAAAGTTATTCATTACCTGGGATATTCATCTCTGTAAATAAGAGTGGGAGCAAAAAGAAAATACAGATATTGGGAAACTTTAGGAAGATGAAAAGAATCTGGAGGGAAAAAAACAGAAGAGTAGTTTGGTACTAGAACATATAACATACACACAAAAATAAACTCAGTTTTTCCATCTTGTTCCTGGCTCTTATTAATTCTGAGTACAATGATGCTTCTTGTAAGATAAAGAGTTCATACCAGTTGTGCCTGTCTCGACAAGTCCTATATCAGTGTTTCTCAAATTCAGCTGTATAGACTTTAATTCCCAGAATTCGGGGAGTTGAAGTCTATACAGCTTACATTTGTTGAGGTGGAGAAATACTGGCCTGTGAACCAGTCCCATCTGATAGAGTGCTACTCCTAGGACAGCAAAAAGGACAAGAAGGTTTTGTCCCTGACACCTGGTACCAGTAGTCCTTGACTTATGACCACAATTGGGATCAGAATTTCATTGCTAAGCAAGGTGGTGGTGAAATGAGTACTATCTGGTTTTATGATTTTTCTGCTATGGTTAAGTCAATTACTACTGTTGTTAAGTGTATCATGCAGTCATTCAGCGAATCCATTGACTTTGCTTATCAGAAACCTACTGGAAAGTTTGCACATAGTGATGACAATGACCCCGGGATATTGTAACCGTCATAGCAATATGGTGGTTGCCAAGCACCCGAATTTTGATCATTTTGGGTGTGCTGTGTCGGTTGTAAATGCGAGGACTGGTCTTGAGTTGCTTTTTTCAACGCCATTGTAACTTTGTAGTCACTAAATGAGTAGTTTCAAGTTCAAGATTACCTATATGGAATTAGCACAAGGGACAATTACTCACTTGACTTTTGAGGAGTAGCAGAGATTATTCGGGGAACATTCTCCCTGACAAAAGAGTGAGCTTTCATCACAAAACGTACCTATAAATAAAAAGACAGGTAAGATTCATTTAAAATGATAAAAAAATGTAAGGAAAAGGGCAAATATGCAAGAAAAATATATACTATATATCAAAATTTTCTATTTTTAAACATAGTATTAAGCCATGATCACAAGGAAAAATCTTGAAAAGTTTTTCCATTATATCAAGAAAGGGCCAGCTCACAAAAAGATGCTATCTGTCCAAGAGTGTAAATTCAACATATTTTTGTCTTTCCACAAAAGAGAACTTTTTTGGCTGCTTTGGTTACTTAGTAAATTCATCATACATATAAATACATTCCAAATGCTTGACATACATCAGGATAACCTTCCTATCTTGAATGTATCATTCTTTCCAAAACTAAGTATAGTTACTGTATTGAAACGGAATGACAGTGGGAAAAATCCAGACTGTGTCTTCTCTTCCTTCTACCCTAATAAGATTGTCAGTCCCAGCGGTGGGGGTTTCTAACGGTTTTGTCCACCTCTGTAGAACCAGTAGCTCTGAAGAGCAGCAGACATAGAACCCGTTCTATGTCTGCTGGTGTTTTTGCCCACCTGCCTGCACAGGCTCTTACCTGACCTTTATTTCCTGCTTTTTCAACTTCAGCTGCCATACAAGGCACAGCTGCAGTTAAAAAAGCAGGAAAAAAGTGCTTTCGCAAAGGCTGCTTTTCTGCACACAGAGTGCTGATGACGATTTACAGGCACACGGGCAGCGTGCAGGGAAGCACATCGTAAATCACCGAACCTCGTAAATCACCGAACTGGTAGTTAACCCTGTCGGATCCCACCCCTGGTCAGTCCTCATTTTCAAACTAGCATTACTCCTAAGAACGGATCAAATTTGTAAAGGTGCTGGTTGTCACCTTTAAAGCCCTTCATGGCTTGGGGCCAGGTTATCTGAGGGACTGTCTCTGGCCAGTCTTATCTACCCAACCCATCAGAGCAGGGAGGCAGGGAATGTTGCAGAACCCATCCCCTAAGGAGATACACCTGGTGGGACCCAGAAGAAGGGCCTTCTCTGGGGTGGGCCCTCCTCTCTAGAACATCATCCCCACAGAGATTAGAATGGCCCTCACTCTAGCACTCTTCTGAAAAGCGCTGAAGACCTGGTTCTGCCAGCAGGCCTGGAGAACCCAGAGTGGAATGGAGCCCATTAAATGGCTTGGGTAAGGTGTTGTTGCTGGGGCAGGGGGGTTATTTTAGTATATTAATTTATTATATGACTCTTCTTTTATTGGTTTTATTGTTTTTATATGGGGTTTTATATTCTGTAAGCTGCATAATTGCATAATGCATTCTGTAAGATACATAATTGAATTTAGAAAGGAATGAGATAATTAAAAGTAAGATTTTAATTATCTCATTCCTTTCTAAATTCAATTATGTATCTTTTTCTAAGTTTCAATACCTTTCTAGTCATTATATTTATACTTTTGTCTGTCCTGTTTCAATTTCGTATTTTCTTTTCTCATTCAACAAAATTTTTCCCTGTAGTTACTAATTGGAATATGACACCTTTGTGTCTTTTAATTTTTATCCATTCAACTCTTATTTAAACTTCAGTTTATGCCTTTACAATTATAACATTCAATATAACACATAACTTCCAGTCGAATTCTGCTTGGTACATTCTTAAAATACGCACTAAATTCTTAAAGAGAAAATATATATATAATGATAATAAATAAAATACTTATTCTATTCCAATTCAGCTCTATCATTAATGTTAGTTATAATCTTTGACATCTTTAATATTTCTTTTCAATACAGTATCATACTTCTAGGAACACTTATAATACTTCCATATTTTTTCATGTTTCTTTCATATTCCTCTTCACTTAAATTTTTATAACACATTTATAATAATTAAAATGTCCCCCTCCTTTCCTAATTTCATTCTCTCATTCTCTTTATTTAAACATTCCATTGCATTACAATGAGTAATTTATCTATCATTTTAATCACACTTGTTTCATATTTTCAAAGTTCATTTCTATTTCTAATATAACAATACTATCTTATGTACCCTTACAGAATCCCCCTTTCAATTAAGTTTTCACCCATTATCTCTGTGTCTTCTAAATAGGCTGATACCCTTAATCCTTGTACATTTTCCCTGTTTCTCTATGTCCTGTTTCTGTCCTTTATAATTTCTTTTCCTTTCCCTCTTCCCCCTCCTGAGATTAAACTTTGTTGTTTAAAACTACCCTGATTTTGACAAGAACATGCACTGAAGTACAATGAAGGATTAGTAAAGTCATAATCTACATATCAAGGAGAAAGCTTTTGAAACAGATGAAAAACAGCATTCCACCCACATAAAAAAGGAGAATGTATACTTGTTTTTCTTAAATAATCTACATATTTCTGCAGAAAAAAAATATTTATGCTGTATTAAGATTTAAAAACCTACAACTCCAGTTCCTTACATCCACTTTGCAAATAATGAAACTCACCTGTTCAAGTATAATTATAAAACGAGAAGCTGGTGGTAGATCATAAACCAAAACAATGTAAGTTGGTCCAAATCCAAGACAAACTGTTTGGAACATCACAAACAGTGTCCCAAATAAAGTGGAACGGATGATCTTGTGGGAGGAGCTATGGAACCCCTGGGCCCAGCGGACAAAGAGGACGTAGGGCACAAGTAACGTGGAGGAGAACATGCAAAGCCAAGTTGGAATGACGATAGAAATTTTGCCAAAAGAATAAACGAGGAAATCAAATTCTAGCACAAGCCTTCAAAAAATATCAAAGAAAACAAACAGGTTAATGGAACTTCAGTCACCAGGTAAAAATATAATATTTGGGGTGTGATTGGGGGTGGGGGAGAGGAATTAAGAGCTACTAAAATCAAGACCAACAAAATAATTTTACATCTGATTATTTAAAAAAAAATACAAGACCCATAAGTAGGCATCTAATAATGTAACATCTAATAATGTTAAGCAGTGTTCATTACTTCAGTGTGGATCAGATATGTTGGCTTACAATTTCTATTAGCCCTAGCTAACATATCTAGCAGATACTGAGAAAGGCTACTATAAAATATCAAACAACATAGTATCATCCAGATATACACAATTCAAGGATAGATTGCAAAACCTTGGCAAGGACATATCTTTGGCAAAGTGCCTTTGTTGTAACAATCTCTGTAAATATAATCATGGGGTTCTCTGTAGCTTTCCTCCTCTACAAAAAAGAGTTGGGTCAATCATTCCTCCCTCCAAACTTTATTCATTAATAGAGAAGAGGTACTAGAGATCCAGGTGTCAAATGCCAAAATGCAGCACCAACCCTGCCTCCAGCTAACGTTTTCCAGATGTTCTTACCTTCCCTCATCAATGTAGTCCACCACAAGTGTGCTGAGGATGAACAAAACGAGGATAGCAATAAACATGTGGTAGATGGTCCGGATATGATTCACTTCAAATAACTCACTATGAAAAGAAGTTCAATGGGATAAAATAAAATTAGGAAATTTCTAGAAAAAAGGGGAAAAACGTTAGTCAATATGATCTTTACAAATATTATTGCAAGTCCAAGATTTCTAGTTGGTTCCCTTCCCTCATAATTTTCATGATTGTTAAGCACTCAGAAATTTTGTGAAAAAGTGCCACACAAATAATGAATGACTAAATGACTGACTGACTGAATATGTAAGTGCTACCCGCTCTACTCCCTACCAGACATTGCTCACATTTCAAAGTTGAGCAAACCTTCAAAGTAGATTGCACTCCAGAGACCAAATTAAATCAGACTTCACTAACCTACAAACCCATAGATATATCTTTCTCAGTGATGGTTAAGAAACATGGGAGTAATCTATTCTGCCCATAAGTCTTCAGCCTTATCCCATTCTATCACTTTTAACGCAGGATATAATTTGCCATCCTAATGAGCTAGACTGTAAAGTTTATTTCTAGTTTCTCATTTTTTCCCCTCTTTGTTAAATAAGGACTCTAGAAATCAGGAAAGTACTTCAGATAATGGTTTTTGAATGGATGCAATAGAGAAGCATGAAACCACTAATACTGTTTCATAGTTAATATGATTCATAATTATTGTCAGGAAACTGAACTTATAAAAACAATTAAACCTACTGTAATTTCCTCCAAAGGATACAAAGACAACAAAAAATGGGTTTTTTTGGTTTTTGGGTTTTTTTAATTACTGAAGAGTAATTGCAAATATATTATAAATTGCTATGAGAAAGTTTAAGGAGCATCTTTCTCTCCCCCCCCCCCCCACAACTTATTATAAATATCTAAAAGAGAAAATGGAGGGTAAGACTTCAAAAGCCCAGGTTTCAACAAAATTGAAACCAATGAACGAAACACCTGTAAAACTAAAGGCTTTCCTATATTCTGGTTCTTTAACTGATTTAAGATGAGAAATCAATGTTGTCTTCCAGAATAATAACAAGAACTTTTATAGAGTGCTGCAGGGACATATCCCTGAAACGTTTATCTCTCAAGACCAGAAGGAATAGAAATATTTTCTTATTAACATGCTCAGCAAATGTCCTTTGTTTTTTCTCTAAAATGAAAGCCAAAAGGTGTGTTTCAACAATTTTTTAAAGGTAACTATTTTTAATATAATACAAGATTTGGCACCTTACAGCACACCTATCAGCCTCACACCCTGAAATGTTTTAAACTGGCCTCTGAGCTAAGGTAGGAAATAATCAAAGCATAGTTTATCCACAGTTTAACTTGGAAAGAAAAGAGGTGAGAAAATGGAGAACAGACTATCATATGTTACTATTTTTGTAGCTTGTATATAAAGCTTGAGTTACAGGTAGTCCTTGACTTATGACCACAATTAAGACCCAAATTTCTGTGCTAAGCAAGACAGTTGTTAAATGAGTTTTGACCCATTTTATGACCTTTCTTACTGGAGTTGTTAAGTGAATCACTGCAATTGTTAAGTTAATAATTAATAAATTGAATCTGACTTTCCCATTAACTTTGCTTGCAAAAAGTTATCTCATATCCCCAGAGCACTGCAACTGTCATAAATACATGTCAACCATTAAGTTTCCAAATTTTGATTACATGACTACAGCCATGGTGCTACACTCATAAGTGTGAAAAATGGGCATTAGTCATGTTTTTCATTGCCACTGTAACTTTGAATAGTCACTAAATGAATAATTGTTAAATCAAAGACTACCTGTACATATAACAGGAAGCTGCATTAATCAATTATATTTAATTTGCACCTTAAAGTATCAAATAGAGGAACAGCTTCTAAGACTCTGAACAATTGCTACCTATCAAGGGGTGACAATAGTGGACTAAAAGAATCTGACCTATACAAAATATGTTCTTGAGTCTAGCCAACACATTTCCTCCCTAATTGTGAATCCTTTATTTAGTTGGTATAAATTTTATCAGAGCATCTATCTGGCTGAGGAATTCTGGGAGTTGAAATCCACAAGTCTTAAAGTTGCCAAGTTTGGGGATCCCTGATCTAGTCATTTGCTAGGAGTCACTTCCGAGTGATACACATGGCTAGAGACTCTAATCAGAAGACAAGCTTTAAGGAGAAAAGGGGAAAGTGGGTGAATATAAGGTGTGGTCATCTCTGACTGGAACTCTAGGTGCACCGTGGCTAACCAAATGCCCAGTTTCAGTCAAGATGGATAATGGAAAAAAAAATGATGAAAAAGATGATAAAAATGAGACGTGACTTTACATCCCCTTATACACAGAAACTGGAGTGCTTTAATCACATTTCCAAAGTGGACTGAAGCAATAGTAACTTTAGCATCAGTACTACTGTAATATACAAATTCCATTAAAGATACTCACTCCAAGAGAGACTTTCTGGGAATAAAAACTTTTCCATGTTCTGGAGGTGCTCTTGTTCCCCTGTGAGGAAAGGAACACATACTATTTAAAACAAAGACAAAAGTAAAGAATTCAAGTAAGAAATCAAATCTACTGAGTGAAGAACCAACATACTTGATTTTGAAACTGTCTTTTTCTGGAAAAGCAGCTGGGGAAGATTCCAGCAGCACAGAATTTGCAATCAAACTATTGACAACTTCAGTAAAATGCTTCTCCACACCCTTCATGAATGCTGGCTTCAACTGCTGATAAAATTTGAGAGAAAGAATAGAATTTTTAAAAAATCACAATCATTTAAAGCAACATCTCACCCAAACAACTGCTTGCTCAAACATTCTCAGTAAGGGATTTTTCCTAGCCACACTATATGACTGTAATTGTGAGAGAAAACATTCAGAAGGAGCTCTTGAGAAATCAATTTCTCAAATAAGTGAAAAATATTAGTTGAGAGATCTTCTAGAATATAACTACCATTAGTATAGAATTAGTTCTCTTCCATACTTAATATTTCACACATATATACAAAAATTTATAAACTAAGTTTGTTGCTGGGGAGTCAGATGCCTATACTATAGTGACTTTTGATCTTTTAACTCTTTGAATTTAAGAAGATCTAAAGCAATCAAAATCTTTCATTTAGAATGTTTATGCACTTATAGAACTATGACACCAATTTTGTTTTAATGCAGTATAACTTTGTAACAGAAGAAGAAAAACAACGATCAGCCCTTATTCTAAAACAAAAGGAGAAAAGATTAATGTTTAACTTTGGCTTGTCACCTGACAAAAACAAACAAACCAGGAATTACAACTTTCAAGTTCAGTAAGTTCACAAAAGGCAGAGATATTTTTTTTTTAAAGCTTTTCATTTGATCAACTGCCGCGGTCTAATTCTCCACCTAAATCAATAAAAACAAGAGCCACTTTTTTTTAACCAATCTAAAAGTCAAATTGCCATTTTTTTTTCAATTTAAAAAGTGGCCATTTTCTAATACAGCTAGTCCTTGACTTACAACAGTTCATTTACTCATCCTTTAAAGTTATAATGGCATTGAAAAAAAGAGACTTATGATCATTTTTCACTTATGACCATTGAAGCATCCCCATGGCCATGTGATCAAAATCCAGACACTTGGCAACAGCTTCATATTTATGAGAGTTGCAGTGTCCCAGGGTCATGTGATCAGCTTGTGACCTTCCGACAAGCAAAGACGACGGGGGAGCCAGGTTCACTTATCAATCAAGTTACTAACTTAACAGCTGCGATGATTTACTTATCAACTATGACAAGAAAAGTTGTAAAAACGGAGCAAAACACACTTAACAAATGTCTCAGTTATCAACATAAATTTTAGGCTCAATTGTGGTCGTAAGTCGAGACCTACCTGTATAGCAGTTTCTAGTAGCAACATAATTCCCCCAGATCCCCACAATTTTTATGTTCCATTTTATGTCAATGGAAATTCTGAGAATTGCAGTTAATAGATCTTGGAATGTGAGACTGGGAAATCTGACAACAGGCTAACTTGCTTGTAAATAGATAGGCACAGCCATATATATAACCGCAAAAGGCTTGTTGGTGACATTTATTTACCTCTGCTTCTGTTAAAAGTCGCATCTTTCTTGTTATTGCAAGATCAACATCAATTCGACCTAAAGAAAAACAAATCATGTTTTGTTGTCTTCAAACTGTAGCCATACTTTTCTACGTATCTTGAAAACATAATTATAAATTCCATGCAGGAAAAAATATATATAAAAGTATATTATGTTAAAATCCATATAGGAAATTAGAGTCTCCCCCCACCCCCCCAAAAAAAAATATGGACTCACCTGTATAAGCACGTACAAGCAATTTTATTCTTTTTTTTACCCATCAGAAAAATAATTCTTCCAAAGTCAAAATGTTCCCTGCCTCGAAGGAGTGCTTACACATTATAGAAAAATAGCTATTTGTAAACTTAAGAATTGAAGGTAATTGGCACAGAAAATTTTGAAGAACACTTCAAAAATACCCAGAGCACTTAATAAAAAAGAAAAAAAAAACATATATATCGAAAATCAGAATTTTAGCCCAATTTTCTCCCTGGTGTTCTGGTTTTATATATGGCAGGAATTAACTGTTTTTATATTTAAGCATATAAATCCCACTTTTAAAGGTTCAGGTAGTACAGATAAAATATATTTATATTATGTCAATAAGAACAATGTCCAAGAGGTCATTTTCTCATGAATTCCAAATGTCTCTCAAAGCATAATATGAATAAAATGGCTTTTAAAAAAATAATATTCAATTATTGCTCACATAAAACATGCTATTACAAAAACTGTACAAAATATATTTATCTCGTTCCCAAAAGCCCACCATACTGCTGGATATAAGCATGTCATAAGAACATTCTTCAGCAAGAATGAAATTGCAATTGAAACATTTTTTTCTGAACATCCTTTATAAAAAAAAGCCATTAATCTGGCTATTTCATTTTTTTTAGTTGTGATGAAATAGTTCCAGATCCCATTCCTATAAAACAGCCAAGGATATAGAATATTTTGGTTTTCAAATCAACATACCTGAGGTTTGTATCCTGAACAAGGCAGGTGAATGGATTAAATAAAAGGTAGCTATGTTTATCTTTTATATTTCACTTGCAGAATTAAATGTTAAGTACAACTGATATTACTTTTCCATATTCCGTGTAAGAGTTCAAAGACAAATCATATTACCACTCTCAAAACATAATAATTCCCAACAAAGTCAGCACGTCATACATAAATACTTCTAGCCGCTTGCTTAACTAATTGTGCTTCTATGTAGGAAGATGGTAGTTCTCATTCAATAGCTAGCTTCTAACTATTCTTGTGATTTATTCACATGATCTTGAATGTTAGGAAACAAACAAGTGATAGAATATCAAACCTTGGAAATGGTTGTTCGTTTGCAATTCTTTCATATTTTCCAAGGTCTCTATATTGCACCAATCCTGAAAAGGGCACAGATGATCTAAAGCTCTGCTGTAATACAATTCATGACTATAAATTAAGCCACGTTAATGTTATTATATTCCACAAAGCCTGAATAGGTCCTCCAAATTATATCCACTACAAAATATAACATAAAACCATGCCATTATTTATGTAATTTTTACAGATTTCAGGAATAAGACTCTTAGCAAACATTTTGACCTGCCAGCATGCAAGTTTATTTTTAAGTTAGCAGATATATCCCAAAGGTGCTTTTTCAGGAGGCAACTGGACCTTCTTGTTTTTTTTCTTTGAAGACATTTTGCTTCTCATCCAAAAAGCTTCTTCACTTCTGACAGGATATTGGGCTTCTTGGATGAGAAGTGAACTGAAGAAGCTTCTTGGATGAGAAGTGAAACATCTTCAAACAAAAAAGAAAAAAAAAGAAAATCCAGTTGCCTCCTGAAAAAGCAGCTTTGGGACAACCATGACCTGGATGACTGAGAATCTCTACAGACTCTCAGCAGATGAAGTTCCAGACAAAACTTGGAGAACACATGAAACACATTTAATAGCTCTGAGATCAGTTAGATTTCTTATTAAAGTAGGATAGGAAATCAGCCTCAAGTCTTATATAACTCAGGCCTATATAATCTTTGTAACTGTTGATTGTTAATGGGACAGTAAAATTATCTAGAATATTATTATATATCCCAATTACAGAGGAAAATATATGCATCCATTACTTAAGTTGTAGTTGAATTTGAAAGGGTAAAAAGTTACTCTGGAAACTCTACTCACTACACATACTCTTTCCCTCATTCTTTCTCTCTGCATAGGGAAGGAAAGAGAGGTAGGAAAAGATGTACTATGATAAAGTATCAGTGCTTATCAGGTTTGCACAGATTTATGAGAGCTTGCTTAGTATCAGTACTGATAGGAAATACTGCAAAGTAACTTTGTGTTAAAGTGACAGTGTTAAAAGAAGAAAAAACTTAAAAAGACAGGGACTTGGTCTGCCTAATTGTTCAAGGTCCACCAGAAATGAATCACTAAGCCAGAAACTTTAGAACACAGAGTCTTTTGCTGAAGTCATCACTTACCAGAAACCTGTGACCTTCCTCCCACATGATTAATGAATCTCTGTCTATCTGAGCATTGACCTCTGGTAACAAGGCCTTTGTTTGAAAAGCTTGAAACATGCTTGTCAGTAGGAGCACTCTTGAAGCAAACTTTATGAGGTTGCAAGATTTAGTACAGATAACATGAAGCCAAGAGCTGAAGAAGAACATATTTTATACAGGGAAACACATGGGTTCAAATTCAACCTCAGCAATGAAATGGCTTTTCGCTGCCTTGGTTCTACACCTGTGAAATAGGATGGGTCTTAGGAAGAGCAGGAAAGCAGAACACTAAGGGAACACTGACTGAGACAAATCAGGAACAGCATATCTTCTCTGTTGAAACTGAACACACAGAAGCCAAGCCTTTCCAGTGAACTGGAATCTTGGGAGCACTATCCAGAAGTGAAACATCTTTTCTACCGAAACAAGAAGAAATAGTCACCGAGAGAATCCTCACTTTCCCCTCCATGCTATACAGCCCAGGAGGTGACAGGATTGATTCCTAGCATTCAGTGGGGACAGAAAAGTTAGGGGACTGAAATGGAAGCCAAACAATTGTTTTCAAGCAATTGCATTAAATGAATATGAGCCTCTTTCAAAAACTACAAATCTATATAAGCTAAATTTATTCACAGTGACTCCAGGTCACAATTCTCTTTATTCAAAGCAGGAGTAGGCTTTGATACATGCATTATGAATCTAGGGCATGCTGTACTACAAGTGTGATCAGGCAATCACTCCTACCTTTCTATTAATGGCACATAATACAAACACTTCTCACTTATACTTAAAATGTGAGGACTGCTTAAGCTTTAATTCTATAGGAACCACTGCTTACTGAGATCAGCAAAATCCAATTGAATATGATGAAATTCTTTTAGCTACAGATGTGAAAGGAGGAAATGCAAACTTCATTTGTGCTCTATTCAAAGATGATTCCTTCTTCTTCTTCTTCTTCTTTTTCTTCAGCGTTTGTCTCGCGCTCGGGTGAGGTCCGCTAATGTCCTTGAGTACTGCTTCCACACCTCTCTGTCTGCCACGTGTGTCGGGTCTGCCTTCGCGATCTCTAGATCGGCCTTGATCGTGTCCATCCAGCGTTGTTTAGGTCTACCACGTGGTCTCGCTCCTCCGACAGTCACCTTCATTACAGATTTGATGATGGATTCTTCCTTGGCGCGGCTCACGTGGCCGAACCATCGTAGCCGGGACTGCCTCATGACCGTGGGGATGGGCACGACGTTGAACCGTCTACGCACTTCTTCGTTCCTGACGCGATCGAGTAGGGTGAGGCCTACCGACCATCGGAGCATTCGCATCTCCATTATCTGGAGTCTGCTTTCGACTTCTTTGGTCGTCGGCCAGCACTCTGCGCCGTATATGGCCACGGGGCGCACCACAGAGTTATAGATTTTCGCCTTCAGGCGCATCGGCATCTTCTTGTCACAGAGGACGCCCATGACGGACTTCCATTTGCCCCACACTGCATTGATCCTGGCTGCCACCTCAATTTGTAGTAGGCCTTCTTCCCCAAGAGTAGTTCCCAGGTACTTGAAGGTGGAGGTGCGCGGTAGCTCCTGCCCGTTCACGTGGATGGAGCCTGTCATTTCATTGTCAGTGGTCAGGTATTCGGACTTCTTTAGGTTCAGCCGGAGCCCGAACTGCTCGAGGCGGTCGTGCCACTGTTGGACTCGGTGCTCTAGTTCAGCCTTGCACAGGTTGGCCAGGAACACATCATCTGCGTAGAGCAGCGTCCATGGGGCGGGCGTGTACAGGTCATGTGTAATTGTGTCCATCACCAGAATGAACAGCAGTGGTGAGAGAGCAGAGCCCTGGTGTACGCCGACGGTAATATTAAACTCCTCTGATATCCCAGCTGCCGCTTTTACACGGCTTTTGTGACATCTGTATAGGAGTTGGACCCATTGTACGAGCAGCTCAGGCACGCCGTGGTCTCGCAGTGCGTACCAGATGAGATCGTGCGGGACTCGGTCGAAGGCCTTTTCCAAGTCTAGGAAGGCGGTGTGGAGCGGGATTTTCTTCTCTCTGTGAGCCTCCATCAGCATCCGCACACCGAAGATGGCGTCGGTGGTGCCGCAGTTCTTGATGAATCCAGCCTGGTTGACGCTGATGTCGACGGTGTCCCGAATGCGCTTATCAAGGACGCGTTCAAAGATCTTCATAGTGTGTGACAGTAACCTGACCGGTCTGTAGTTGGAGCAGTCCGCTGGGCTGCCCTTTCCCTTCCAGATCGGAACAGTGGTGCTGCGGTACCAGTCGTGTGGCACTTTTCCCGTGGAGACGATGTTGTTGAACAGCTCGCACAGCCACAATGCCGAGCCCGGTAGTGCCTTTTTCCAGAAGTCGGCAGGGATGTCGTCTGGTCCTGTTGCCTTACCGTTTTTCATGGCCTTGATGGCGTCGGCGACCTCGCTGGCATAAATGCCTGAGACTGGGCCTTCAACTGGGTCACCTCGTGGGGTTCGTGGGTGTGGGAACTCCTCGGTGGAGATCTTCTCGAAGTATTGCCGCCACCTCTCCGCAGCGTCTCTGGGGTTGACGATCAAATTT